CGAGTCACTGAGACAGCAAGCCTGTGCATCGCACAGGTCCTGACCTGAGGACCTTGTCCTCTGCCGCTCTACATTGTGTTTCGAATTTCGCGCCTCGGCTTCGACATCCCGGAGCTGGCGCGCGGCCGTCCGAGCCGTCCGGCTGCCTGCCGAGGTCCAGCCAGCCGTTGTTGACGGTGTGCTTGCATCTTGTCGGCGCGGGGCGAACTGCCTCGCTCCAGCCGCCACGCAACGCGACGCGACGCCCCCCCCCTCCTCCCCCCCCCGCGTCAATCTCTATCTCACTTAGCGCAGTGTAATGGATGCATTCAGGTCGTTACCGAAGACGCCCTTGGTCGCGGCGGAAGCAAGTGCAGCACTGCCACTCATCGTTATCACGCCCCGAATTGGTACGCGTCTCGTGATTGGCTGGGCATCGCACGCGCCTCTCCACCTCGACCAACCAGCGACCAGCACGCAACGGCCAGGCATCGACGGCGCGGTGAACAACCAGGCGAAACCCGGCCACACCGACAAAAGAAACTTCTTTAGACAGACCTCAAAAATGGTTCTCTACGGTGTCGGTGTCTTTCTCGCACTCATGAGGCGTCCCGTCGGGGTGCGAGAGAGACAGAGTGACGGGACGATCCGTCGGGCGGGGCAGTGGGCATGGCGCCGAAAAAAAGGCTTTCGCCGCTTGCTCGGCGGGCAGTGCGTCCCTTGCACCGGGTGGCTGCGGCGCGCGCGCCACGCCGGCGGCCTTCAGGTGGACAGCAAAAGGAAGTGCGAGATGCTGGCCAGGTTCGTTGAACGGGGCGATGGAGTTCACATTAGGGGCGATGAGTTCATATCCGGCGGGCCGCCTGCCTGCTGCCTGCCTGGTCTGTCCGGCCCGGCCTGCCCGCACCTCCTCGCCCCGACGGGCCGACGCCCGCAGTGCGGCGAAGCGGCGATCCACTACACCAGTAGTTCGGCTCATTGTTCGTGAGAGAATCCCCGGCGTCGCGTGACATGTGCCGCTGCACTGCACGGCCGCTTGGACCGGAAACGCACATTTGCCAATTTCCGGCAATAGCCGCGCGGTGGCGCCACCAGCGCCGCGGCGCGCTGCGGGCACACTGTAGGGCCGCCCGGCGGCGTGCGCGGGGCGTGCGCCAGGAAGGGGACAATTGTGGAAGAGAGGGCTGCGTCCGGGACGCACAGTGGGCCAGAAGACCGGTGGAGGCGGCCGAAACTCTGGACGCGTTTTGAGCTCCAGAGTCGCTACACAGGCCTCGAAACGAACGTGTGACCCCATCAATGAGTTCCTCGTTCGGAGAGCAATCCATTGGTGGGGTCACACGTTCGGTTCGAGTCCCATTTAGCGACTCTGGAGCTCAAAACGGGTCTGGAGTTTTGTCTGCCTCCACCGGCTTCTGGCCCACTGTGAGAGGGTCCGGGACGCCGTTCCGAACGCGGACCGAGGCGGCACCGCAGGCCGTGCTGCACTCGTTGCATGCCGGAACAAGCGGTACTCTGTCTCTCTCGCGCGCATGGGTCGTCCCGCAGGGGTGCGAGAGAGACAGAGCTCCGTTTCGGAACACGCCTGCTGCGCGAAAACAGACACAGCGCTGTGGCACTCGGTCGCGACGCCCCGTGGGTGCTGTGACAGTGCTGCGACTTTCGTGGAAACGGTAACACAGTCGTGGATTTCCGTAACTGGTTTCGGCGTGCCTGGCTCGGCTCCAAAACGAGCCAGGACTGCCTCCCGACTCATCACAGCTGGACCACATTCATATCAGAACCCGTGACCCCTCGCAATGTCACTTTCAAACTCAATTTCTGCCCGCAATGCTTTGGAAACATCCAGCGAGAACGATACAGTCAGGCTTATGGCCGATAAAAGCTTGGTCGTCCAAAATTTGGTCATGACCGTCACGATCATCACTCTTTTATCACTGTCCAGTGTCCACAAGGTAAGTAAGGCTCTCCAGAGACCGGAGGGGAAAATTCCGCTACACCGGATCGAAAAGTTAGCGTCAATAACGGGCCGACTGTTGTGAAACCGAGGGACTGCAGTGCCTTTCGACACCGGCACACTGCTAGGCCTGCAGAGATGCAGCGGCGCCCATCGACGACATGGCATTCGGACTCTCAGTTCAATACCCGTTCCAGCCAACAGGCTACCCGCATTGCACAGTGGGCCAGAAGACCGGTGGAGGCGGACCAAACTTGACGCGTTTTTGGCTCCAGAGACGCTGGATCGGACTCGAACCGAACGTGTGACCCCACCAATGGATTGCTCTTCGAACGAGGAATCCATTGGTGGGGTCACACGTTCGGTTCGCGGCCCATTAAACGACTCTGGAGCTCAAAACGCGTCTGGAGTTTTGTCCGCCTCCACCGGTCTTCTGGCCCACTGTGCGTTGCCGGCGTCGCCGTGCTGGAGGCCCTCCAGTCGCTGGAGCCCACTGGAGGGGCGCCGTTGTGAAACAGACGCCTGCCGAGCCGCGGGTCCGAAGCAGCGCTCTGTCTCTCTCGCACCGCGCCGGACGCCCCGCGAGTGCGGCAGAGACAGCGCGACGAAACGACTCTTTGGAGTCAGTGTGCTGGTTTGCCCGCCTCGGGCGGGGCCTACACTGGCCTACACCAACGGGCCGCCGCGTTAGTGCGTGTCAAAGACCAGCCAAACCTGGCCATGCGTGTTATTCTGCCCAGAGTCAATGACTTGGTGTCTTGATTCGTGTCGTCGCCTCGATACAAAATCTTCCTTCGAGAAAAATCTTTGTTTCATTTGAAATTCATACTTCAATCTGCGCAAGTGTGAAAATGAAGTTCATCAACCGTAATGGTCAAAACGAATACAAATCGTATTGTTTTTTTTTTTAATACACATCATACATGATGTTTTCCAGGCAATGTTGTGTCCCTAGGCGGAAACGAAAAGTTATCAATGTCAGGCGCGCTAACAATGACACTAGCACTGCACTCGACACGAAAATTGTCATCCTCTTTGACGTGATCCCGAAATGTGGCACAATTACGGAGTGATTACCTGTCTCTCTCGGTCGCACGCCCACTTGCCCACGTCACGCGGCCAATAGGGCTCCTCCTTTTATGCACAGCCACGGAGTATGAGGGAGACAGCTGCACCGTGGTGGGGTCACAACGTTCGGTTTGAGTCCCATTTAGCGACTTTAGAGCTCGAAACGCGTCTTTGGCTGCCGGTCTTCTGGCCTACCGCTCGGAGAGCTTCTCGAGTGCCTACAAAGATTCGCAACGACAGACGTCGCGAGGGATAGGGGCGGAGGGGGCTGGCTGTGGGTCTTAGTGACAAGATTAAACGAATCGAATCAAGGTTGGAGACGCTTTAACGAACCGGCATGGCAAATGTGGCCGGCAGGGTCAACGGTTTCGTCTCGCAGTGACCCCCCGAAAAGGGAAGACTTCTTTTCGAAAGTCGAATCTTTGTTGCTGCTGTTGTTGGCTCGAAATGACACGGTGGCGCAGCGGGACTGACGTCAGCCGCTCTGCGGTGTGCGAAGCATGGCGAAGCAAGGCAGCGTGCGCGCTGGCGCCCATTTTCGGACCGCCACTCATCTTTGGCGCACGCTGGCGCACGCACACGCGATCATCATTGGAAGCCGCCAATCATTTTCACCGCGGTTCGCCGGAATCCTCGCCAAAAGCCAAAAGCAACGGCAGCTTCGTTTCGACACGGCCTTTCGGCAACAGCGGGCAACGGCCGCAGGGCCCGCAGGGGGCGCGCTGCAGCGGGCCCAAAACTGTGTTTCTCTCTCTCTCTCTCTCTCTCTCTCTGACGCGCAAAGGGGAGGCACCTTGGTCACTGACCATTGGTCAGTCACCTTCAGTCAACGGTTCATTTGGAGCACGATTACCACTGATTGCTTTAACAACGGCGCAGGTACAGGTATCGCACGATAAAACAAAAGACGCAAACCGCGGCGCGTTAATCTGTGCATTAAGGCGTTTCCACACACACACACACACACACACACACACACACACACACACACACACACACAGCCAGCGCGGCCGGCATTCGAAGACAAAAGAAACAAGCCGTTCGAACAGCGGCCTGGTTTCTCTCGTTGCGGCCGAGTTTTTGCGTCACGTAGATGCAATTGGCAAATCCGATGGCGGTCGCGCGGTCGCAGGGCGCGCATTAAAACATTAAACGCACTGGCGGTGCTTTCCCCCGAAAGTCTCGTTTTGTTTTTGTCTGAGGCGCCGCAAACGAGCGACCGGCTCCGTTCGGCCGCCAAGGCGTGACACGCAAACGAGACCGACGGTCCGTCACGCCGCGTCACGCCGCGTCACGTCGCGTCACACGGTGTAGGCTACGGGCCTGCAGCACGACGGGCACCATTCGCGTCACCATTTTTGCGGGCCCACAGCAGGTTAACTCAAAGGGGGCAGAATACCAACAGAAAGGCGTTCCTCTCTATCGAAAGTGCTCCCTTAAAAAAGGTGTTCCTTAAAAAAGGTGCTCCTGAAGAAAAAGGTGCTCCTGAAGAAAAAGGCGTTCCTTTTTTTTAAAAAAAGGTGTTTCTTCAAAAAGTGTTTCTTATTTTTAAAAAGGTGTTTTTTGTGTTTTTTTAAGGTGTTTCTTTTTTTTAAAAGGAGTTTCTTTAAAAAAAGGTGTTCCTTAAAAAACGGTGTTCCTTAAAAAAGGAGTTTCTTAAAAAAATGTCTTCCCTAAAAGACGTTCCTTTAAGAAAAAAAGGTGTTTCTTAAAAAGGCGTCCTCAAAAGAGCAGTTCCTTAAAATGAGCGTTCCATAAAAAATGGAGTCCCTTAGAAAGCAGGTCCTTAAAAATTCGTTCCTTTAAAAAGTCGGTCCTTAAAAAGTAGCTCCTTAGAAAAGGCGTTCCTTAAGAAACGAGGTCCTTAAAAGAGGCGTACCGTACGAGCGAGGCAATCGCCTCTGGCCTGGTTTCGAAAAGTCGTTGCTAAGCCATTTCTTGGCGTGAACATAGGGAGTCTGTTAGGAAGTGAGCCTTTGGGGTGCGGAGTACTCACGCTTGGTCTTGATGAGCATGGCGAGGCTCGTCCCGCGCGGTGGCGTCTGCAGCAAGGGGGTGGCTTCGCTTGGCGCCCCGTTCACGGCCAGGGCGGCGCGGTGGTCGCGTCCTGGCTGCCTGCACTCGGGTGCACTCGCGCTGCAGCCGGCTAGCGGCGGCCGGGCGCGGACGGGCCCGTCATGGTCGGTGCCTTGACTACCTTATCGGCTGTTAACCGGCTTACCCTCCATTCGCGAGGACGGCTCACTTGACTCGACACCCAACTTCACGACCAAGTTCGACGCCCTGCTCGACTTGACACCCAACTTCGGTTTCAAGTTCGAAGCCCCACTGACTTGACACCCAACTTTATGCCCAACTTGACACCCAACTAGCCAAACTAACCCGACTTGGCCCTAGTTGATACCCTAGAAGACAGCTAGGCCTGGCACCCGAACTGGCAAACCGCCCCGACGTGAGCCAGATAACCGACTTGACTCTGTATTGACACCGCGCGGTGGCGTGCGCGTACGGAGGCTGATAACGCACTGATGCTCCTTAGCTTGCCGGCCGGGGCTCCACCGGGCCGACGTGCACATGCTACTAGACAGCGGCGCGGCGTGCGCGGTGTGGCGGGGGAAGGGCGGGGCGCGGCGGGGAGAGGCGCGCTGGAAGGGGGTGTCGAAGACAGTCCAAGACAGTGCTGGACCTGCCGGCTGGCCGTGGAGGGGGGCGTGCCTCGGGGCGTGTCGCCTCCTGGTCGCCCTGGTCGCACTACGGCCTGCCAAGACCGCCACCCTGGCGACACCTCACTCCGCGGCTAAGACATCAGTCACGTTCGACATTAAAACGTCAATTTAGATCGCAGTAGAGAGAGAGAGAGAGAGAGAGAGAGAGAGAGAGAGAGGAGAGAGAGAGGAGAGGAGAGGGAGAGAGGAGGAGAGAGAGGAGAGAGAGGGAGAGAGAGGGAGAGAGGGAGAGAGAGGAGAGAGAGAGAGAGAGAGAGAGAGAGAGAGAGAGAGAGAGCGGGCTGCGAGGGCCAGGCGGCGGAGCGCCTGTCACGGCCGGGGTAGGCCAGCCCGCCGAACAGGGGTGCCCCTCGGCTGCCTACCCCGGCCCTCGACATGACCATTACCATTAAGGGCTAGACAGGGGCTCGGAAGCACGCAAACAACGCAATGCCCAAAACGGGGCGAGGCACTTACTGCCGAATCGTAAACAAAATCAGCACAATTACTGCCTCCAGCTTGTAAACAGCGTCGTCAGTCCAACTGCGCGACTCGCGACTCTCTTCACCGAATTCGCCATAACGCCGCGCCTCCGAGAAATCGTTGGTTAAAATCGGCTCGCCGACCGGCCACAGCCGCAGCCGGCCAGCTCCGAACAACGGGGTGCTCTGTCTCTCTCGCACTCAGGGGCGCGCCGCGGGGGTGCGAGAGAGACAGAGAGACACTCGAACTCGCGGTCAGTCGGGTCGGCAGGATATCCGCGTCGTCGCGAATCCCACTCGCCAGATTACCCCGAACACGTGCCGGCCGGTGGCGCTGCAGCCACACTGTCTCTCGCAGCCCCGCGCGGCGCCGCGAGAGTGCGACAGAGACAGCGGACTGCAGGGTCAGGCCGCAGAGGTCCCGGCACGTTCGTCACACCGAGACGTCCGCGGAAAACGCCTCTGTCACGTCCCTCCGCCGGGAAGGATATTTGTCCGTCTCTGTCGCACTCGCAGGGCAAGGGGTGCCAGAGAGACAGAGGTCCTGCGGAATGGCGCGGGTGCCCTAGTCCCGACCGCGGCCCGGCGTGGCGTGGCGTGGCGTGGCGTGGCGTGGCGTGGCGTGGCGTGGCGTGGCGTGGCGTGGCGTGGCGTTCGAACGCAAGACGGACGCTCCCATCTCCGGCGGATGTCTGCATCGATATCTCGCCCGCTTCGCCCTCTTCGCGCGCTTCACGCCGTTTTGGCGCCAAAACGAGGACAAAGCGACACGTGCTGCAAACCCCAAGCACGGCGCAGTGAAGGCGCGACGAGAGACAATGCACCTCACGTGCGGTCGCGCATTCAAAACAGTCTGTGCCAGCCATTGAAAACCGGCACACATTTTGTTTTTACAGTGAGCCAGCACCTCCGCGCCAGCCTGCACCGCGGCAGCCTGCGCGCTCGGCCCGCTTGCGAATAGGCAAAAGTACACTGCCCGGCACCGCGGCCGTCTCGTTGTCAAATTGGGTCACAGCGGGCTGCAGCAGGCTCGGCCAGGACGACCCGCGACGACCCAGGCCATCATCTCTCCGCGGAGCGGCGGCAGTGGCGGCACGGCAACAAACAACAAACACACCGCGCCGCACCGCTGCGCTCCGGACTGGGCCTCCAACACAATCCGATTTTTTGGACCAGCAGGAATTTTGGACGCAGCGTTGATTTTACAGTATCTGCATCTTCAATTAAGATGTATTGTTCCATAAATTTCATTTCGTTTGAGGGGATTTTTTTTGTTTTCAAGTGTCTCTTTTTTTTTGTTTGTTTCTTGTGTCTTTTGTGCGCCTGTTTTGATTTTTTTTTCAAGTGTTTTAGCTTGATTTGAGTACTTTTTGCCAGTGGTTTTGTTTGCGGAGCAGGCAGGCGCCGCAAAGCGGGAGACAACGCGACCGCCACACCCTTTTCTTCGACTGACTTGACTCTATCGTCTTGGTGGCGACGGAGCGCTGTCCAGCGCGTGGCGGCGCGCGGCGTGCCCGGCGTGCCGGGCGTGCCCCTCCCGTCCTCGCATCGCACGGCAGGAAGCAATTACTACGAGTCGCTGATCGTTTTGTCTAGCCGACCAATCAGAGCGCGGCGTTTCGGCGGCGGTGTCATTCGCACGCACTTCCTTCCGTTCCGTCCGTCCGCCTTTCCTCTCGTCTAATTACGAGCGACGTCGTTTGACTAGAGCAGTGCCGGGTCCATCAGTCACTTCACGCGCGCCGCCCCCCCCCCCTCTCTCTCTCTCTCTCTCTCTCTCTCTCTCTCGTTGAGGCAGGCCACGCCGTGATTCGCACGATGGGCGGCCTGCCTCACGGCGCCGCCGACGAGGCCGAGAAGTTGCCTACCTGCCGGGCGGAGCGGGTCCCGCGGGCCACCGGTCGCAGGAGCCACGGCGACGGTAGCGCCCTCCGCGCGGCGCCGCGTGCAAACAGTGAACTACTCTGTGTGATCGGGGGTCGCCGTCTTTTGCAATGTAGGGTACCGGAGCCGTTGCCGCCAACGCCGCTGCTGTGGTTTTCCAAATGCTGTGAGATTCGACTCGAGTTTCGTTCCGTAGGTCCGTCCGTCCAGGCGGCAGTGTGGTGGACCCACCGCGGCCGTTTCCGCACTAGATAAACAGACTTTTGAAGGATCCCCAGGGCGCCTGTTTCGCCACCGCTAGTCCGGTAGTCCGGTCCCCGCGGCGCGCGTCCCGCGGCCCAGTGCCCTGCGGCCGGTTGCAGCGTCGCTCTGTCTCCCTCGCACCCCAACGGGACGCCCCCCGAGTGCGAGAGAGACAGACGCTGGTCGTCACTAAATACCGTCGGCGCGCTCCCAGCCTCGTTGGGGCCAATCCCGTCCGTTTTCACAATGGGCCGATTAGACAGATAAGCGGACGAGGGACAAGGGGGCGGACCACAGTGGGCCAGAAGCCGGGAGACGCGTTTTGAGCTCCAGAGTCGCTAAGCAGGCCTCGAATAGAACGTGTGACCCCACCAATGGATTCCTCGTTCGGAGAGCAATCCATTGGTGGGGTCACACGATCGGTTCGAGTCCCATTTAGCGACTCTGGAGCTCAAAACGCGTCTAGAGTTTTGGCCGCCTCCACCGGTTTCTGGCCCACTGTGCGGACGGGGCGACGCACTGCGGGGTGGACGGACGCCGTGGCCAGGAACGCCGTGGCTGCCAAAAGTCAGCCCAAACCACCACAAGTACGCATTCCCAAACCAAGCCGCGGGAAATCGCCGCTCGACGGCGAGCTAGAGGAAGCATCAAACAATACCGCCCTGTTGAGGGAGTACGACTTCCCGCCTTTGGACGCCATGGCTGCTGAAACCACCTTCCGTTGCTAGGGGCAGTCGGTTCCAGTTTCGACTGCCTGTCTTGGTGGCCAGAGGTCGCCGTCGTGGCGCGGCTTGGCGGCCCGGGGCGTGGCCGCGACGTCGCGGCGCGGGTCCACGGCGGTGCACTTTGCCACCAATCCAGTGACGCAACGTAATGAAGGCTGTGGGAAGTGACTAGCCGACCAGCCCTTCGGCCGGGAGCGCGCCTCAGCCTCACCCTTGCCGTCCTTGTCGCTCTCGGGGCACCGCGCCGTCGTCCGTCCCCGTCGCACAGCGCACTCCAGACGCAGACCCGCTATTAGCCGGCAAGGGCGGCCCGGCCCGCCAGCGACCCGACGTCAGCCAGGTCCAGGAGGGGGGGGGGGGCAATGTTTTCTGCCAGTGCGGCAGGCCGATCGCATTGTGTCCTTTGGCATTTCGCAAAAATGATCGGACTTGTTTAATAGCGGCGCTCTTCGAGGCTGGCTGGCTGGCTGGCTGGCTGGCTGGCTGGCTGCGCGGTCTGGGCGGCAGCGCCGTGGGCACTACGGCAGCCAGCCTCGCCGCGTGACAGCGCTCATTTTCGACCACCCACAACCGATGAAGCACAACTGTGCGCGGATTCGAACGAAGCGCGGGGAAAACCACCCGCAATCACCCAGTAGGTACAGTGTACCTGCATTTTTATTTACTTTTTTCCGCTTCTTGGAAGTGGCTAGGCGGCGCTGGCGCGCGCTGGCGGCCGGAAGTCCGCAGCCTTTTGAGGCCCTTGAGGCTGGACAGGCTGGACCACGCGAGTCAACGTCGGCGAGGCCATGGGATGCGCAGGCAGTAGCACCACAATGCCGAAGCGCAATCAGGCAGCAGGCGCCCATTTTCCGGTTTACGCTGTTTTTAAAATTATAAATCGTGCCAGCAACGTGTTGTTCCTTTTTTTTTCAGCGATGTTGGCGGAAAGTTTTCAAGATTTTTGTAAAAGGCTGATAGGCAGAGCTGGACGACTCTTCAAAGTCGGCGCTCAACGAGGAGTCCGGAGTGTATTGTTGTGTCCGCGGACTGCCGTGGACAGGTCAAAGGGACTCGCAAGGACGCCGCGAGGACCCTTCGGCCCGCCGGGTCCTTCAACGCAGAGCAGGCGGACGCAATCAGATAGCAGAAATTAACAAGAGATTGGATGATGGCGCCGCGCCACTGGAAGAAACGGCCTTCGGAAATGAAGAGAACTCAATTATTGCATCCGCGATTTTTCTATTGAACAAGTTATGTACAACATGGCCGATGAATTTCGTTAAAGTCAAAATCTTGCATTCTCAAATTCCAACCAACTAACCAGGGAAAACAATCAGTGATAAAATCTCATGTGTCACATGTCAATGCCAAATTTGCAATCCGCACCAAGGAAACAGATTTCCTCCGAGTACATTGTACGTATGTTCGGTTTGCAGCGATGCATTGGGCCTCTGCTGCAGGGGGGCCTCCTCTGCTCGGCGCCCCCCGCCCGGAGCGCCCGGCTGGCCAGACCATCCCTACCCTGCTGGAGCGCGGACCGCCGCGACTAGCCCGGACGGCACGCCAGGACCGCGGGGAGCTTAGATATACCCCGCCTCCCACTCCGGAGGGCCAGTCTCAGTTCGAGTGTTGTAGTGCAGCGTTGTGCAGCATGCGACCGACGTACCACGTGCAGGTGGGTCCAGCTTCAGAGTCCAGGCGTGTTTTTGTCAAGTCCCGCTACGCGTGGTTGGCGAACACTTTTGATCGGTTTCTAGGCTTTGGGAGGGGATTTTGGTTCCTTTAAACGAAAGGGCAGCTATCCCAAAATACAGGACTCCCGAGCACACGAGCTTTCGCGTTAGTACAGTGGCCGAAATTTTTTAGAATGACCATAAATATTGTGACAAAATAGGATGGTCAATCAATCGACCCATAATTTATTAATACACCAACCAATCAGTGCAAAACTTAGTGTTACTCCGTTTTTGGAGAAAGTTTGGCTGAGCACATGATTTTACATGTAGGGTCCGTTCTAAATCCTATTGATTACTTAGGTTTTTATTGGAACGAGAACAAGTGACCAATGCAGAGTTGATGAAACAAAAAATTACATATGCGAAATTGTGTGGTGAAAAAATAACACAAAATTAAGAAGGTCGTGTTTGGTCGTTTCTGTTGCACGTGAACTTGGACACATTCATGCTTTGATACGGTGCGTGTGTGAGTGCGTGTGTGCGTGGGAGCTGCCTAGAACTGCCGAACGAGCGTGCCATGATTAGCGCACTGGTTCCCAGCTTCCCAGCCACGCAGTGCTACGCAGCCCGATTGGGCGGCATTGAGCCTTGAGCCCAAAACAGAAAGCAAGCCAAGCTGGCGGTGCGGCTCAAAAATGCAAATGGCCGGGGCAAGCTCTCACGATTCCCATCGATGATAAACAATTTGCATGGGTTTGAAAAAAAATGTGTCCCACGGCTGCGCAGCCCGGGCGCGGTAAGCCACGGCCTGTGTCAGTGTGGGCAGGCACCTGTTTTTCGATACAAAATGACGAATAGGGCTCCCCGACAGCTCGCCGAGTGCACCGTTAGGTCTGTTGGGTCGGTGGCGGGGCATTGTTCTAGGCGGCGGTGGAGCGCGGTGGAACGCGCCTCGACTAGGGGGCGGCGCGCCGCGGGGACGAGTCGCATCGGAAAATAAAGCCATTTGCCACATTATGACGTCATTTTGACAGCGAGGCCGGCTGGCCTGGGCTGGCCGCCATCAATCATGTCGCCCAGACTGAAATAAGTGAAATAAATCAGGGCGAGTGAGGAAGGCGGTGCACTGCAAGTGCAAGGACAAGCAGGGATGTCCGCACAAGAAGTCTGAAAATTATCCCCCGCGGTTTTTGCAAGGCGAAGGTCGGTTCTGCTTCGTGGCGCTAATGAGTTCGATTAACGCCACCAAGGGCCCGGCGGTGCCCGATGGCCTCACGGCGCCTCCATGATGGCCTGATGCAGGAGACTGACCCCACCGCGGGAAACAATAAAGACCCATTCCAAGGCCGTCGTAAATCTTGGGACGCCTCAGATGCACTGTTAATAACACATCGCAAAAATCCTGTAAAGTACGCGTTCCGTCGAGAATTTCCAAAGGTTTCATTTAAAAAAAAAATTGTGCTACCTGCCGAAAACTCAAACGAAATAGAAACATTGGAGGTTTTTGTAACTTTCTGTAAGATATGAGTGTGGGCACTTAGCAGCGCCATGTCCTCGACAATCCTTCTGCTGCTCGTCCTTTCCCCTAATTTCCCTAGATAAAAAAAGGCGCAATCATTCGCGCAGCTACACGCGACAGCCGCCTCGCGTTCAGAGTCTATTCGCCTCGCCGGCAACGATGCTCTATGAGACAGTTCAGTTAGGCAAAGCCGAGTTGACACCAGTTGACTCGCGTGACTAATGGCCGGCGTCTAAGTCGCATTAGCGGCACAGCGGCACTCGTGGGCGGGTCCATGCACAACGATCATCTAACGCAGAGTGGACGCCAAGGTCGTGTTTCCCCCGAAAGGGGCGGAACAATCTCGGAAAGCCTTTGGAGATTCCGTGGACGCCAGTACGCGCCGTCTCCTCCACGTCAGACTCCCGCCACTCCAGATACGATAGACAGGTCTCGCCGAGTTTTTGGTCAGACCTGAAAGTCTCGCCAAAATTTGGTCGGACTTATTGTCTCGCCACATTTTGGCGCAGAGTCTTTTCATTTGAATTTCACGGAAGTTACCTCGCTTTTCCGCCGCCATTGAGTCTATCTCCGATAAATGGCACCGCTACCGGCCTCTCCTTTGAATCCGACGTCCGGCTCGGGGCGCCCCTTGAACTGTCAAAATCCGCGGTTCAGCAAACACGACTTGGCACACCTCCCGGCGGCCGCTGCCAGCAGCACCTCCGACTTGGTTCTCTCTCGTAGCGGAGCGAGAGAAACAGAGCTCGGGTACCTCGCCTGCTGGCCGGCGCGTTTGCCGCCATTCCCCCGCCGAATCTAGTTAAAGGCTGTCATCGTTACTGCGTGATTCCCTTGCGCAAGCCGTTATTTACAGACAGCTGGCACTGTAAATAATGGCGGGCTGGTGCCTCTTGTTCGTTGCAAAACAGACCGGCAGCCCATGCAGCTGGCGCGCAACCACCACACTTGAAACCCATCCCAGTCACTAACGCGGTGGCCTGCCTGAGCAAACAGCGTCGCTCTGTCTCTCTCGCACCCCCAAGGGACGGCCCGCGAGTGCGAGAGAGACAGAGCGACGAAGGTGCCGCTTGGCCTGCTGGGCCGCGGTGCCGCGGGGGTCGCGACCCAGAACACCGTCGATCGCCATCGGTGCGATGGCGCGCTACACTGTCGGGGTTTTGTTTATTTTTCCACGGGTTGACATTTGAGGCCGCATCGTCGGGGAGGTGCCGCTGGCGTCGGGCCGTCGGGAGTCCCGACTCGGCACGGCGACACGGCTGACCCCTGCACTGTTTCCTGATTAGCAACACACGGCGGGGGGCTATTGTTCGGTTCGAGACAAAATTACGACTGCCGCGCTTCGGGTGCTTCGGGTCTCGGTCGCGGGGCCGCCGGGCCGGGCGTCGCGCCGCGCGCTGCAACTCTGACTTGAGATAAGGGCATTGTGCTGTTTGTCCACTGCCATGGCTGACCCACTGCCGAAGTCCTTGCCGAGTTCGACTTCTCGGGGTGTCGGTGTGTTGGCCCGGGCCCCTGGCGGCCAAAGAAAGCCTCTCTCGCTCGCATTAGGGCGTTCCCCATAGGGGCGAGGTACCGCGAGAGCTCCAAGGATGCCCCTCGTCCTTCAGCACTGCGTCTGCCCTGCTTCGCGCCAGCTTCGCGCACCGCGCTGCCCAAAAGTGGTCCTGCGACTCCACTAGGAAATGTGACGCTGCTTGCGCAATGCCGCAATGCGGCTGCTGGATGGGCCGGGGCTTTGTGCCCCGCGTTCCCACCACTGCGGTGCACGGCCCTGCGGCCCTCGAACCTTGCCCCGTCATCAGCCAGTCAATGAGGGGGCGGCTATTTCTTTTGGCAACAACGCGGGGCACGGCCTCGCCTTCCAACGGGTGGCGGTCTGTCTCTCTCGCACCCCCGCGGGGCCTACGGGACGCCCCGTGAGTGCGAGAGAGACGGAGCGACGCTGCAAGTTGAACTCTCCCTTCGCAGGGGCCGTTGCCGGCCGTGCTGGCCGTGCTGGCCGCGCTGGCGGTGTCCTCCTCGGCGCTGCCCCGGCCCGCCCCCCACGGCAGCGGCTGGGTGCCGTCCGGGGCGTGGTCGGCGCCCTCCTACGTCAACCCCTGGCCCGCGCAGCCCGCGCAGGGCTGGACCGACTACAGCGTCAGCAGCGTCAGCGTGGACCCCTGGGCGACCCAGGTATTCCCTATCTGTGTTGCTCTCTAACACGCCCGTTGTTGTCTAACTCTGCCTGCCTGCATGGCGCCGGCCTAACCCGTGTCCGCTTGCAAGCCTTAAGGCGTGCCGCGTGCCGCCAACTGCGTTCTGAGTGATGCGAATGGCTTCAGAAGGCGAAGTACAAGGCCAACCCCGCGGCCTGGTGGGCCACCAGCACGACGCGGCACCCGCAGGCGCCGACGGCCACGTCCACGGCGTGGTTCCAACGCCACCACCAGCCCGCGCAGCAACCTCTGCAGCAGCTGCAGCACTTACAACAGCACGTGCTGCAGCAGCAGCACCCACAGCAACAACTGCTGCAGCAGCCCGTGCAGTACCAGCCGGCGTACCAGCCGCCGCTGCACCTGTACCAACAGCAGGCAGTGGCCGCGCCGCAGCAAGCGTTCCAGTACGAGTACCAGAACTACCAGCTCGAGCCGGAGCTGGTCTACGAGGTGGCGGCGGTACCGCAGGTCAGCCGGGGACACTTGTCCAACCCCCATCTCACTAACGTCAGCGCCAACACACGGCAGTGAGCCCGCGGTTGCCTGCGGTTGCCTGCCTGACGCCTCAGGGTAGGCAACCTGGTAGGCAACCTGGTAGGCAACCTGGTAGGCAACCTGGTAGGCAACCTGGTAGGCAACCTGGTAGGCAACCCAAGGTGCTGCTGTGCGTTCGCGGCCTGTCTTTTAGTGTTTCCAGTGAGGAAAACAAGATCATTTAGAGTGTAGCGGCTCGTTGTTCCGCGTTCAGGTGTGTAGCGACGGGTGTGAAACGCACGTCCCGAAGCGACGCGTGCGGGTAAATGCTTGCTAACGTGTTCGCACGGCTTGTGCTATTAACCTGAGCTAACTAACGTGAGGCGCTTAATGTTTTCACACCTTCACTAACCAATAGGGTCAATGCGCGCAAGGTGAGAAACGCAACTATAAGCATTCGAACAACAGTGCAAAGTCTTCGCTTCGCCTTCGAAGGAATCAAATTGGAAACTGTGTCAGCGCAGAGAGTTGGCGTTATTTTCGACTCTCGCTTAACTGGTCCATCGCTGCAGGTGGTCAAGAAGAAGCCGTCCTACGCGTCCCTGTACCCGTGGCCCGAGAAGCCCGCCTACCGCTCCGTGCCCCTGCACGTCCCCAGCGCGGCGCCGTCCTACACGCCCCAGCACCACAGCGGCGGGTAGGTCTCGGTTCGATCCCCGCCAAAGTTCGTCTCCTGAAAAAAAAACTTACGTCTTTTTCTTTTCGCAGGTACGCTGGCTGGACGCGCATCCCAGTGCTGGACGAGGAGGGCGGCAACCAGTGGGTGGCCTGGGTGCCCGAGGAGCTGGGTGACTTCGTCATCGTGCGCAAGGACAAGCTCAAGCCCAAGAAGAAGAAGGTCGAGGAGGAGGAGGAAGAAGAGCCAGAGCCGCCCAAGCCCAAGCCCAAGAAGAAGGTCAAGACCATTGTGGAGGAGGACGCCCCCGAGGAGGAGCCCCCCAAGCCCAAGAAGAAGGTCAAGACCATTGTGGAGGAGGAGGCCCCCGAGGAGGAGCCCCCCAAGCCCAAGAAGAAGATCAAGACCATCGTCGAGGACGAGGTGCCGCCCAAGAAGACCACCAAGACCACGGTGACCACGGAGGAGCAGGGCGAGCCCGGCACCTCCGTCAAGGAGACCTCCACGTCCTCCGACACCAGGGTAAGCGCGGGGGTGGAAAGGACCGCACTGGACTTCCAGTGCGGAGGCTCGGGAGTGTTGACGCTCATTGAATGTAAGCTTCTGTTTCCAGGTGACTAAGACGGAGGTGATCGAGCAGGCGTCCACCATGCCCGAGTCCGTGTCGGTGCCCGCGCCCACCAAGTGACGTCACCGCTGACGTCATCCCTGCAGCCGGGCGGTCTCCGCCGGCCAACCCCCAAGACAAATAGTCCACGCGGTTCGAAGAAGACCCCGCGTTCGAGATTCGTCAATCAGTGAACAGTGTAGGTGCCTGTGGCTGTGCCGGAGCGTGCGGCCGGGGCAGCGTCCAGTCTTCCATTGCCGTGCCATCTGGACCTCGCCCCGCCTGCGACGCGCCGCGCGGCACACCCCGAAGAACCGCTCCGTCGCTCTGTCCCTCTCGCACCCCCACGGGGCGCGCCTCGCGTGTGACGGAGACAGAGCGACGGAGCGACTGTCCGGAATCGGTCTGCACCGCCCAAACACACCCCGCACAGCAGTTGTCAAACGTCAAGGTTGTGGAGAATAAAAGTCGTGTCAAAATGTGTGCTTTATTGCTCGGCGAAACAGGCGCCCTTCTCTGTCACACCCCTGCGGGACACCATACGAGTGAGAGAGACAGAGCGACGAAACGGCGGTCGTTCGGGATTTATCAGTGTGCCGGTGGAAGGCGCCGCGCCCGGACGGAAGGCAACCCATTGTACCTCGGCGCCGCACCTTGTGCCGCCATGGGTGAGCCGGCGGCGGGCTGCAGCCTGGAGAGGGGGAGGGGAGGGGAGGGGAGGGGAGGGGACGCGGCGCCACGCGGGACAATCACCCCGCGCAGAACGCGGCCAGTGTTTACATACTCTTGCATCGTCACATCCTTCCTTTCCCGGCGCCGGCTGCGCTGCCACCACACTGGGCATGTCACTCGCGTCCCGTGGCACAATTTCGCACAGCGCCGATTCGATTCACACTTTCTCTAGAGCGACAGCAAAGAGAAGGGCTTTTCGCCCGGCTCGTGAAAGAGTTGAAATCGAGGTGCGGGAGGGCATGAAAGAATACTAGGGCGTCGAGGGAGGCCTTTTACGGCAGTGGCCGCCAAGTCAGCAAAATCAGCAAATTTCCGAGATTCGACCACTTTTTGACCAACTTGGTCGGAAAATCGTTGCGGTCAAAGGCAAAATCGTTGTGGTCAACGTCTTCCCGATGCAGGGCATGAAAGAGTAGGGTCTTAAGAATACTAGGGCGTCGAGGGAGGCCTTTTACGGCAGCTAGATTGGACACAGTGGCCGCCCAAAGTCAGCAAAATCAACAAATTTCCGAGATTCGACCACTTTTTGACCAACTTGGTCGGAAAATCGTTGCGGTCAAAGGCAAAATCGTTGTGGTCAACGCCTTCCCGATCCAGGGCATGAAAGAGTAGGGTCTTAAGAATACTAGGGCGTCGAGGGAGGCCTTTTACGGCAACTAGATTGGACACAGTGGCCGCCCAAAGTCAGCAAAATCAACAAATTTCCGAGATTCGACCACTTTTTGACCAACTTGGTCGGAAAATCGTTGCGGTCAAAGGCAAAATCGTTGTGGTCAACGCCTTCCCGATGCAGGGCATGAAAGAGTAGGGTCTTAAGAATACTAGGGCGTCGAGGTAGGCCGTTGGCCGCAACTAGATCGGACGCAGTGGCCGCCCAAAATCAGCGAAAACGGCTACTTTCGGAGATTCAATCACTGTTTGATCAAATTTGTGACGATACTGGTGCCGAACCCGAAGGCCCCGGCAGATTTTTCTGCCTGTCTGCCCTGGCCACTCCGAGCCTGCAGCGAACGGCCACCCCACGGACGCGTCTACAAGTCTATGATTCTTCCTTGAGGCTCATATATTTTTAGAGGCAATTGGTCGCGACAGCCGGAGGAAAACAAATCGAATAACGACGCGGTGTGGTCATGGCCAGGGGTTCGACTACCGCCGAGGCCCCTCGCTTTTTTCCACACCCCGCACACGAAGTAGAGAGCAGTTGGGCTGGGTTGGCCCGCAGACTCGCACAAGGTACTCACCCTGGTCGTCGTGGTGCCGAGGCTGCTGGCGGCAGCTGTCCTGGTGCGCCACGATGACGGTCCTCTCCTCGCGGACCCCGCAGCGCGGGCACTCCTCCAGCAGTGGCTCCATCTGCGCAGAGCAGCAGAGACACCCGCCAATCAGAGACTTGACCGCCAACCAACTTATCATAATCTCGGATTACACGTCCGCCGCCCCGGAAACGGAACGCCCTTGAATCGCATCCGTCGCAACGCCAGCCGCAGGAATGCGCTTTTCAGCGACAAAGACGAAAAAGGCACACACGGCGGCCAGGAGACGCGCGCTCCGCCTTTACATTGCAAATGCAATCTCTCTTTGAGAATGTGGCGATAGCCATCGCTAATCATCCCCAACAAGTTAAACGTGTAATTGCACACGGACGGTGCTCGAGCACGCCAATGACGCGGGCACGGCCGAGACACGGCCGGGGCACGGCGGAGTGTTGCCGCGCTATGCAAATGCACGGTCACGACTACCTCTTTCTCTCTCCCTCCCCCTCCCCCTTTCCCCCGGGCGGGCTCATTCCTTCCGATGGTACCGCGAACGCGCGAACCGGGCCGCGGTCAATCAATGAGAAGGCGGCGTGATTCACCCGGGCCGTCTCGAGCACGTCCTGCCCGTCGCACCACAGTGGGCCAGAAGACCGGCAGGCGGCCAAACTTCTAGACGAGTTTTGAGCTCCAGAGTCGCTAAAAAGGACTCCAACTGAACGTGTCACCCCACCAATGGATTCCTCGTTCGGAAGGGCAATCCGTTGGTGGGGCCACACGTTCGGTTCGAGTCCCTTAGCGACTCTGGAGCTCAAAACGCGTCTAGTTTTGGGTGCCTCCTCCGGCCTTCTGGCCCACTGCGCCGCGGTGGGCGGCAGCCGCCTTGGCCGCAGCCACTGCCGCCGCGCGTTGAGTGAGCACGTCAGACCTCGCTTCAGATTTACATCCAACAAGAAATATTCAACGTCCTGATTTAGACAGCTAGGCGAATTTCATTCGATTCCCCCGGTCCAGAACCATGTCACCTTATCCCTCCGGAGAGCCACGGTTTTCGAGTTACCCGATAGGCCGTCGGAAAAAGCGTCGAACTCGATACGGACCAGTTTCTGACAGTTCTAAAACCCCGAGCACGATTTTACCTCCAAAGTGACGAGCGTACCGACTCGCGCGCCGCCACGCCTCCGCCACGCACCCAGGTCGGGACTCCCTCACCGCCACTTGTGTGTGTACACTGCTCAACAATTAGGCACTATCGGAGGGGATCCCTACCGGCGAGCGGCCCACCTTAGTAAGGACGGCCATGTCTCGTTTTGCAGTGCAGGCGGGCATGTGTCGGGCCCGAAATGGCATACGATCATGTGTGGTCTAGCCCTTAGTGGTAATGATAGGAAGGCGCCCACCGCCCACGCCGGAGCGAGTAGGGTTGCCTACTCAGAGTGGCCCCCGGGCGGGTAGGCAACCCTAGCAACGCTGCAGCTGTCACTCGTCACGATGAAAAAGGCACGAGGGTCGCCATGCATGCGATGCATAGGGTGGAGGCTGCGCGGGGCCGCTCTGTCTCTCTCGCGCCGACGAGGGACGCCCCGCGAGCGCGAGAGAGATAGGACGCTCTGCAGCAGGTGTGTTGTGTCGGCGCGTTCAAAGGCGACGGGATGAAACTTTCAGCGCCACCTCCTCCGGGCTGGTCTTCGGGGAGGGGCGCGAAACTAGATTTAGAAGGGGTTGGGTGTCGCGGCACTGGCAGGGACAGAAAGAGAGATAGACTGAGAAAGCGGCGAGACAAGGTGGTAATTATGGGGATCGTCCTTTCTCGCCGACCGAGCGGAGAGGGAATGTTTTTGTCGCCTTCTTGCATGCCTGCCCTCTGCGTCGCCATTGTCTCCACGTCAGACCCTTGCGCGCCCCGCCCCGCCCCGCCCGCGGCGGCCTAGGCCTTCTGCCTTGGACCTAGACCGGCCCGCTGGCCTTTCTGCCTCGCCGAAGAATTGCCAGCGTCCGATTGGCTATCTGGGCAACCTAGCTCGTACGGTGTAGGGTCCGCCTGGGTCCGCGGAAAGCAGATAAGCATTAATCTCCATTCATGCGCGAAGGCGAAGGCAACGCAAGGCAACGCAAGGCAACGGCGAGCGCGGATGGAATGTCACGCTTGTTTCGCCTCAAATTATTATTAGCCGCACTCTTGTTTTTCCTGTCGGGGCAAAACCGCCGAGCAAAAACGCGGAGCCACGAGGCCGGTCGGAAGGTTTCGATAAAGAGAAAAAGATTCAATGAAGCGGGAGGAAAAAATGCGGATCTTTACGTAACAATGATAATAATTTTTTTTCGGTAAAATGGCGGCGTGGGGTTGGCGACTTAGGCGACGAGTCCTTCCCTTTGGCACCGCGGCATGGATTGCTCGGGCCGGTCGCCCCGCCGGCCGGTCGCTCTCGTAAAATGATAAGCAGCTTCCTTGATGCAGGCCGACCGGGGCCGGCACGGAGGGAAGGAAGCCTCGCGCATGCATCATCATTTTTGATTCGAGAAAAAGGAAAAAAGGAGTACATATCGCGCCAAACCCTGCCGCCGGTTTACTTCTGCACGCAAGGCCGCGACAAAAAAAACCAGCCAAGTGTGCAGTGGTCATACAGGATTCACTTTGTGTTTGCGAGACAGGCGTGCGCCGGCAGACGGAAACATTGTTATTTGAAAGGTTGGTCCGGAAAAGCCGCTTGGCGCGGTTCGACACAGGCGTCGCTCCGCGCGTCGTCTGGTCGCCTGCCATGCAGCAGCCCGAGGCACGGCGCACGACGGCACGGCGGCACGGCGGAGAGGCTCCCCGTCCTCCCCGTCCGCCCCCTGCCGTTGTTGTGGCCGACCGACAGCCTTGCGGACTAGAGGGACTAGTGCGTCGTCTGCTGCGACACGATAACCCCAGGCCCGGGTCGGCTCGGCTCGGCTCGGCCCGGCGCAAATCCCTCCAACCTCGAGACGAGACGCAAGCGCACGCCAAGTGTTTCCGGATGAACGTACCTTTCCGGCGAGGACGGCTGAGGTGCGAGCGATTCAACCTCTTGACTGGCGGCGCATCGTTTGGCCCACGAGGAGGGCGTCACCATGCAGCAACACTCGGGGCCGCCATGGCACACTGGCAGCACTCCTGGCGGAACGGAACTCTCTGGCCGCGTGGCCGCGTCGCCCAAAGGCTGCACGCCACTTCACTGCCACACGACGCACATCACTGGGCACACCACTGCACTGCACTCACGACACGCACTGCGCGACCTCCAGGGCCTCCAGGGAGGCGGCCGTCGCCGGACTCGCACTGCGACGCCTCCTGCTCGCACTCGCGGTGGCCGTGGCGGCCGTCGGCGCACCGGACTGGACGCGGTTCGGGGACTTCGGGGATGGGCGTCGGCACCTCGTCGGCCCGTGCATTTCCCGCGCCTCGCCTCGCCTCGGCCGGCCTGGTCCTCGTCGTCCGCGTCGTCCGCGTCGTCGGCGTTCCGCGTGTGGGCCCTGT